TCTTTATGGATCTTTCAACTTTATCTACCCTCTTCCAATTTCATTTTAATATAACTTTAAAGTAGTAAGTCAGAACACCACAAGATTATGGGCATAGTGCTTAAATTTTTTTTCCAAGAGACATTTATAGCTGACAATTAATACTTATCATCTATCAAGGAACATTCTATTGATTAGCTAAAAAATTATTACAACAGCATTTTCATATAAAACATACCATCTGAATGCTAATTGATTTCCATAATAACTATATGTGCATTACAAATACTGTATCTTCTCACCTAGAAAGGCATTTCTGGCAAAGATTAAGTAAATATCATTGCCTGCAGATAAAGCCTCGACTTGTGTTGTCCCACTGACTGGCACCTCTTGAAAGTTATTAAAGCCACTGCCAGACCATTTGAATAAAAGCAAATTTAGCCTGGCATTAACCTGGGAAATGGCTAAGAACACAGAGCCTCCTCTGTTGAACAAGGCCATGCTCAGCACTCCTCGGACAGGGAGGGTTTGATGCAACACAAAGCTTCCTCCATTCCACCTGAAGACCTGTAGAAAATGTTCAAATACAAAACTCTTCATGACTAGGAATTTAGCACTTGTGAGAATTTAACCAATATCATGCGTTTACTCTCCTGGACCCTTTTATTTATTTAGAAGGATACATTCATAAATGAGAAAATACCAAAACTGATGCTCCCTCACTGCTCTCTCCTTTTTATCTGTGTGTGTGCCCACATGAGCACACACATGCAGAATGAATGAAAGAGAAGTTATTTGGAAAGAAATCAGTGTCAAATATACATCTGGGCAGGGGTTGGTAACAGAAACGAAAGGGAAAGCAAAAACAGAAGAGAATTAAATTAAATATGAAAAATTTAGAACCAGATAAGAAACTTTCTAATGCTGTAATATCATCACCAACAGTTCAAGCAAGAGAATACAGAGAAACACCTAAACCTTTCTTGTCCCCACGGTGGCAGTCAATGCACAAAATGCATATACTTTCAGGGCAAGTGTTCATATATTTAAAATTAAAAGGCAATTCAAACTCTACCTGGTTCCGTATATGAGCTAGTCAATTTCACAAAGAACTATATTTATTCAGTCAACAATTAGGAGCTGTGAGCCAGACATTATATCTAACTTGATTTCCCTAATACTTTCATAATCCTCTATCAGACCATCCTAATTGTCATCTTCAGCACTTGTCTCATTTTATAATCATGCATTTATTCAATTACTGATGTTTATTGTGTGTCTTTTCCTAATAGTTAATAAGATCCAAAAAGGGAGGAATCACTTGGGTGGGCCAGTGATATAGTACAGCCTCTATGGAAAACAGTATGGAGATTCCTCAAAGAACTAAAAGTAGACCTACCATTTGATCCAGCAATCCCACTACTGGGTATTTACCCAAAGGAAAAAAAGTCATTTTATCAAAAAGGCACCTGCACTCCAATGTTTATTGCAGCACAATTCACAATTGCAAAGGTGTGGAATCAACCCAAGTTCCCAATGATTCATGAGTGGATTAACAAAATGTGGTATGTGTATGCTGTGGAATACTACTCAGCCATGAATAAGGATAACTTAATGCCTTTTGCAACATACTAGATGGAACTGGAGACCATTATCCTAAGTGAAGTACCACAAAACAAACACCACATGTACTCACTATTAAACTGGAACTAACCAATGAGCACATCTGTCCACAGAGGAACGTAAAATTTAGTGGAAATCAAGCAGAGGGAGGCGGGATGATGGGAGGGGCAAAAACCTACTAAATGGGCACAGTGAATACTATTTAGGTGATTGGCACACTTAGAGCCATCACAAAAGCAATACATGTAATCAAAACATTTATACTCCTTTAATACTTTGAAATAAAAAAATAAAAGTAAATAAATTTGAGAATGAGGTGACTGTCACATGCTGATGGCATATATGATAATAATAGAAAAACATCCACTGAATTTGGCCACCTAGTTGTCATCAGTGAGCACAAGTAAGTAAAGACAAAGCAAAGAGATCATTCTATCAAAATGTCTTACTATAGAGGGGAGAAAAGACATGAGACAAAAACTAAAAGGGGATGAGATCGGGGAGGAATTTCTTTCTAAGCTGGGTGATTCTAGAACGTTTATACTGATAGTCAAGAGAGAGAGAGAGAGAAAGATGCCAGAGATGAAGGGAATAACTAAACCTTATGAAGACAAGAGGGGCACTGATGTGAGAGGTCTGGCTTTTATAGAAGGGACACATCCTCCATTCTAACAGAAACGAGGAATAAGACTGGGTTTCAAGTGGGTTTTTAAATTTGATGTTGGGAAGATGAGTGATCTTCCTTCTGGTCACTTTCATTTCAACAAGACTGTTAGCTGAAAATGAGGAGATGAGAAGCACATACAGAAGTTTGGGAAATGACAAAAATGATCAAATAAACATTACCAGGATTACAAAAACCTAGTTTATTAGAGAGATGTGGGATTTCTGCGGTGATGCTGAATGTCCATATGGCAATGTTAATCATGAATTTTTACTGATAC